TCTTTCCCTGATTATAAATTGCATTTTTTATATTTTAATCTTAAGAACCATCAGAAACAAGTTCAAATTGTGGAAATACATTTCTTCTCCATTTTAAAAAAGGAAATAATCTAAAATTACTTTTCTAGGAGTCCCATGTGTCCTCATGTAAATTCTGAGGCAGACAGCTGCATTTAGTAGATGTTTTACCTGCAGAAGAAAATCCAAGAGTGCCATCTTGGACCACTCATGATGATGGATTTCTGTACAACCCCACTCAGCTTTGGGAACTTTGCCATTCTGCCAGCATTTCTGCTTCAATAGCTGCTGATATCTCCCCCAGGTTAATCTCACTGAAGAATGGGTATTATTATCTGTTGGACTCAGTGAGGAATCCCAGAGAATAACAGGACAGGCTTGACCATCTGAAAAAGGAAAAACAGATCACTGGTACAGTGCAATACTGTCAGACTTATTGGTCTTTCTTTCAACATTGCCAAAGTATCACTAATTATACCATTTTACAGATGTGGTAGGAAAAACAGCCAGGGGCTAATAACTTGACACCCCTTGGTTAATGTGGTCTTATTCCACATAAAAAATCACCTACTGTAGGAATGGAAGAAGCACAGATATTATAAACCCCTTCAGTATACAGAAGGTTTTCTCTCTTTGAAGCAAGAGATTAATGTACAAAAATATACACTAAACCAGCCTATTAAAAAGTTTATAGGTAGATTAAGAGCCTACAAAGCCACTGTGAGTCAATGATGTAATTTCCCTTTGATTCCAGCAAACTGATGATGATTTACAAGAGCTGAAAACTTATGTCAAATAATTTTTTTTCTGCATAGTGAGCATAGAAAAGCTACAAATCCTATACTCAAAGGGGATTTATTTTGGTTTTTATTTTGTTTATTTGTATATCTACGGCCTGTAATGTATGATGTCACAGCTCTGAAATTATATATGAGAATACTAGCATGTGAACTTAGCATGAATATTCACCTTGACAAGTTGTTTTGGGTTTTTGGGGGTTTTTGGATTTTTTTACCCACGTATAACATGAGATTTGTTTTGTATAGCAGCTATTTTGGCCACAATCTTTAATTCTTCTGTGTAAAGAATATTCTGCTCTTCCTTGAAACTAAGTCAAGGGCCTTAGCTTTGGCAAATTCAGGTGTTCAGAGTTATTAGTGGGAAGAAACCTTGGCAAAGAATTTAAAATTTGTCTTTTCCAGTGTAAGAACTGACAAATATATTTCGCCCACTATAAAGAAACAGGCATATCTAGCTTAGGAAGCAGAGTTCTCCTTTTCCTTGTTGATGTAATGCTGCTGCCTTAAACTGTCAAGGATCCAGGACTCACTGTGGCTTGTATGCATGTTAAAACAAATAAATCCTTTATATCTTTGGGTATAGACAGAGGAACAAAATACCATATCTTGGTACAGAGAGGAGGAACCAATTGACTGCAAAGCTTCTGTTTACTAAATACCAGTTGTAGGGACACATATAAAGATATATATTTATATTAGTCTTGAAGGTTAATGAACACAAAGCCCACGCTATTGCACAATTTATCTCATAGTTAAATGCAGCCTAAACTGTCTCCACATGCCCATGGAGCCAGAGATGAATCTGAAAAGTTGTCAAAAACTTGCATAAAGGGAATGAGATCCATGGCATTTTCTCCAGAGACAAGTAGCACAAATAGAGAATAGCACATAGAAAACGGATATCAGTGCCAACAGCAACATAAAAGCTGCTGATGTGAATGCTCCATCTGTAAACAGCAGGAACTGTTAAAAACAGATCTCCATCTCATTTAGATCTGTCTAATCTAAAACAACAGGTCAGATACTATCTTTGCCCATACTTAGCAGTGAATCATGTTGTGTTTGCAACAGATCAACACAGTCAAGCCAAGAGAAAAACAAACTCCTCTCCAAAACCAGAATGCATTTGGTCTCTGACATGGCTTGCACATACCAGGTGTCCTTCTCAAGCCAACCCAATGTGCAGCTCCACCACCTCTATCTTCCCACCCAGTCAACCAAAGTTTCCTTAGGAACAGAGAAAGTGTCCTTCCTTTAGGAACATCAAGTTTTGTCTTTCACTAGGAACAATACTACCTTTATCAGGACCATGCTCCACACATTCCTCCACAGAAAAATGTACTGAGCACTCCTGGAAAATAAGGCTTGTCCTCCTAAGGTAACTGAATAACTATTTAAGCTTTCCTTCTCTGGCTTCATCACCAATATTAGTGAGGACATCAGCTCAGTCAGGCCAACTATAGGCAAAGCCTCTTTTCCAAGCCAGTTGGAGAAAAAAAAAAATCTATAGAAGCATTGGGAATTGTCACAAAGAAAAGGACAGCTTTCTTCAGGACCAAGTCTGATCTATTATTTTTATATCTCCAATAACAGCTTACATAACTATTCATGAATTCTTTCACAAACCAAATACATAAATGGTCTTCTAACAAAACAAACATTTGGGTAGACAGAAGGGACATGATAAACAATAGTAATAAAAATACCTGAAAAATATTAATAATATTGTGCCAGTTTCCATTAAGATACAAAAACATTTTTAAAAGACATGAGCTGAATACAGGAAATGTTTGTGTTTCAGAGGAAATGGGAGCAGAAAAGATGAGCCAAAATAAAATCTTTCAGCTCTGTAATGTAAATTGAATTACAGGAATATGAGACAGCAGCTTCAGTAAAGAGCAGTGACTCAAATTTTTGACACTTGCGGGAAAACCATGAAGATGCTGAATTACAGTAGATAAAGGGTCTGATTTATAGCTGTGCGAATTGGCATGACTCCACTGAAATCAGTGGAACTCTTCTGAGTCAAACCTCATGAGGATGGAGCTGAAGTTAACTGAATGGTGAAAAGTAAGGCCTGGCTAAGAAGCAGAGCTTCTGGTTTGATACAACCAAAACTGAGGAGGTTGAGTACACTTCAGAGTAAGTCCAGTGTGTTCTGTATGTGCTGCTTTCCTAATCAGCTTTATATATAAACACAAAAGGCTACTGCTCTTGTGTGTGAAAGATTTTTTCAGAACTCTCAGAACTAGCTTCCTAGTAATTCATATTGATTTTTTAAACATCAAAATATTTCTAAAAAATTTCTTAGGCCCTTAGGAGCTATTGGCTCAGGATATCCTTAAGTTGAATAAGCTAACACAGATGGAGTCTCAGGCTGCTGAGACTAGACTACCTCAAGGTGCTCAAACTGCTTCATGCACAGTTAGGCAACGTATCACTTCATGGCTTCTTCAACATGGGCATCATCTTAAATATCCACACACCATGCTGCTTTGAAAATAGTCTGTATGCTTCTTAACCACAAAGATGCCCATGCAAAAGTTACTCTCCCATCTTGTACTCTAACTTGTATCTACAGCATTTTTTTTTTCTAAATTCCTTGAAAGAAAATACTTTCAGGCATGCTCATGAGAGCATCACTAAAAAGAACAAGTCTTTCTTGAGGTAGTTAAAGCCCTTTCTCAAACTCATTGTTCGCTGTAAAGCTTACTATTGTCATGTTTGAAAGAAACAGTCTAGTTGCCCACATATTAGCAGGAGAGGGTAATTTAGTGTGGAAAGATGAGAGGGACTGACATACAGACCGTTACTTGTATGTTAGAGCTTAATACTAAGTTCTGAGGGAAAATATAAGGGACAGAAACAGAAAGCAGAGAGAAGTTAGGCCATTTATTTTTCTTTCTTCTCTCTTCACCTTATTTGCAATGTTTCTGTCCTGCACTCATGGATGTCAAATTAAGGAATACATGAAATGTGTATCGGTTGCTCTGTAGACTATGGACTGCATTATTGCTTCGACATGAACTTCTCTACCCAACAATATACTGGAAATATGCCCCTGGTACTCCTCTGAGGGGTACAACACTATGGTGCATGTTGTTTGGGTTGACAGAAAACAAGACAGATAAACTGAAGCATTTTAGAGCATTCTGGATGCACAAGGCAGCATTAGGTTTTCCTTACTTTTGCCCTGACACTAGTGATTCATAATATCTTTGCCTGCTTTTACATAACTTTTGCTGGGATGGCAAGGGCATGCTGATAGTGCAGGTATTACACGGAAAAACCTCTGCTTCCATTAATCATCTTGTAGAGGGCAGTAAAGCAAAATGACAAGTACAACCAGTGGAACTATCTATCACATGTCATTCATCTATTTGCACTAAACCAACCATAAAAGGTGTTAGTCAGAGGAAGAGTTTCTTGCGTGCTTTAGAACAAAACATGGTTCTGGGCAAATAGCGGGTTCAATCTTTAGCTAAAAAAAGCCCAACTGAATCGAGTACACCTGTGCTTATTCTTCTCAGCACAGGATAAAATATATTTAGCCAAACTTATGATATCAGAAAACCCGAGAGGAACAGCGGTTGTTTGTGAATATTTAGTAGTTCAGGCCCTCAGCCAGTGACACGACAAAACTGCATAGCAATAGGTGTGTATTACCAAAAGCTGAGTTAAGAGCTCAGCCTTGTTGCTACCACCCAAGGAGAAAGAGTCCTATCCCTACGCCTGTCAGCTGCGACATTGGAGCAAGCCTGTTCCAGCCCCTGTTACTCCAGTGCTGGCTCAAGCCCTAACACACACTGGCATTGTCCTACCCTGCAAGTGATTTGAAGATCTTAACGTTTTTCACACTTTGTAGGTAGCAGTAATGAATGACTAGTGTATGCCCAGAATCATGCTCTTTAAGCCTGTAACACTGAACTCAACAGTGCCTGCCAGTATTCCCCAGGCTTTTTTGTTCGTCCAATCCATTCTAAAAATATGAAAAAAATCATACCTGATTTTTCCATCCATGATGGAAAAATAAGATAAACAATAGGGGAAAAAAAAATCACAGTTAACACTTAAAAGGCTTTATCATTAATGAGGGCAGGCAAGGGCAGCCGACAGAGGACTTGCATACAGTATTTTGCTAGACTTTTAAAAAAATCAGTGAGGGATTTGTGGGACTAGGAGAAACAGAACCTGTACAGGGATTTACTAAGCAGTTCTTTGAAACTGCTTTTGACAAAATGAATGACAGTTTTGAAAAGCCCATTTTTTAAGATTTTAATGCTACATCAAACATGTCTTGTTACATCACATCACAGCTGAGGCAAGCTAAAGGGATGTGTCCTGGAGAGAGATATGTCAGCCCAGAAACTGTGTAAAATCATACACACAGCACAGTTTCTAATCCTGCATTGTTTTCTTTCCCATATGAATAACCATGATTCACAGAACCTGCCCTCTAAAAAAAAACTTTACATTGCCCACCTATTCTTAACTTAAATGCATATGGGTTATAGAAATTAGTTCCCTAATTGCTCATATTATTTTTAAGAATGTATTTTTGCTCATTTTCCCAACACAGATGTTTTCCAGATTATGCCAATCGCTAGCAAGTAAATAGTAGCAAGCTCAAGTAGATGGCAGGTATCTGAGCTTCAGCATACTTCCAAGCTAAAGAAATGGAGAGGGACAAAGTACAGTAACTATTCCAAACACTCTGTTCACTCTTTAGCTGGAAAAAATGAAGTGAGACCAAAATAATGTTATTTCTCTTCTCATCACCTAGCAACACTCTTCTTGCTATAGGAACATAGCCAGTTGTGAGGAAAAGAAAATTAAAGAGGGCAGAACAACATTCACTGTCCCAGACAGTCCAAAACATACCGTAAGGTGACAGACACTGAACACCATGCACAATTAGCCTAATAGCAGTTTTCAGAGGCTTGCAGTCTGTCATCTCTGCAGCCACACTGTGCAGAGTTCCTCCAACTGAGCTACCTTAATGCCTTATGACAGCTCTATAGCAATAAATCTTGCTCCTAAAAATAAGCTAGGCATAATGTATCTTCCATGCTCTGCAAGTATGAATAATATTCAGAAGCCTCCAAACTGTTGTTCCTTGAGATTCATTCACGCTGTTGTATAGGCTGCCCAAAAGGAAGGTTTGCAAAGCAGGAAGAAACCAGAGATCACTGGGCCGTCTTTCCGCTGTGACTTTAACAAGTCATTCTTGCATTACTTTCCTTACGAAATGCAGACAGACATAAAAATATTTTTTATAAGCTAATTTCAGCATCAAGAAAGGAACAGCAAAAACATAGCTAGCCACTTTAGCAGTGATTCAGTAAAGTGCAACGTAGTCCTTTTGGACTGTGATTTGTGACTGTACAAAAATAGCAGTTACACAGAAGACATATTTAACAAGATAGCAATGTTAGAAGTAGACTTACTTCTAACTCACACTACATGTCTGAAATCTATCTTTAATTTCACTAAAGAATAAAAATCAAATTTTTAATTGAAAACTGTACCAATCATCTAACAGGCATATTGAGATATCTACTGTATATATTTGTCAGCATAATACATAGATGCGTGTACAGCAGGAGTCACTGAGAAGTAGTGGGTTTTTTTAATTCCCAGAGGAAAGGGAGACCTATTTTAAAATTTTTCAGTTCCCAGGAGTATTAGTACCATGGAAGCAGTATCAAACTTCTGTGGGAAGTTCTTGTACCTCTCTGAGTAGATTATCTGATCTGACTAAATACAAACACCTTTTCCTACTGTTTTATTAAAGTAAAATCTAAAAGATGAGAGCAAAAAAACAACAAGCAAAAAAATAAAACCACCACCAAACAAACCAGAAACACCCATCAAATCACAGGGTATTCTGGAATTTCTTTCATCAGTTTAACTTCAGGCAGTCTGTACAACGTCATGCAATCTACAGATGACTCCCTCTCTTTTTTCTCATTCCAGATTCCCATGGAAGAGAAATTGTTACTGCCCTCAGCAGCTTGATGGTATTTGATCTAAACTTTGCGGTACTGCATCCTTCAATGAGGATAATTGCACTGCAGAAATTGCACACAGATACCAGCTTTACCTCCCCGTAACGACGGGGTTAGTTCTCAGGCTCACAGGAGCCTGAGGTGGCTGCTCAGGTGGTTAACATGGAAGGGGGAAGGAAACCTAAGCACTCCAACTGCAAAATGAAAGCTGTAGGAATGTGTTACCTTGGAAGAACTCTGATCTCCTGCTTACAGAAGGTAAGCTCCTGTTGAGCCCCAAAATCCTATCCAAATGAAAGGCAAACACCTCGCTCATGTCGAGGGGTCTTTTCATGATGCCACAGTGCCCCTGGTTACAAGCAGTTCTTGTGGTGCTGGTACCCCTCCCAAATACTACCAGGACTGCTTTGTGAGAAGGTACTTCTTGGATGCTCTCTATCTGAGAATCTGCCAGCATGCGCATGTTCAGGATGTCTTCTTTGCTCAGCCAAGAGGGTGAGCTCTCACTGTAAATCCTGATATTGCTTTCCTCAGGCTGGGGCTGTGACTTTATAGCCCCAGAAATCCCTCCAGGTCTGCGGTGACCCCTCTCCCTGATTGCCATTCCTTTATGCCTGTGTTCATCCAGTCGGTGTTTTCTCGCCTCCAGAGCTATTGCTGCTCCCGTTGCACCGGCGGCATGTGTGGCCCTCCCTGGCTGTTGGGCAAAGGCCTCTTCCTGGCCTATAAAAGCAGCTTTTGGAAAGTGCTGCCCATAGGACAAAGGGGTTGCATGTTTCTTCCTGCGCTTCGGTTTCACTGTGCCTCTGATATTGGCAGGCTTGCTGCGCTTGGACCGCAGGGTGATATAAACTACATTGGGTGGCAGCAAGGTCCCATTGCTACCAAGCTGGGGTTCCTGGAAATTGGGTAGTGACAGGGTGCCATCCAGTGGGATGCCCAGAAAAGGAGTTTGGGCTGCATCTTGGAGACTTCTGGAACTGATCTTTTGGTGTCCTCCTCTGTGCTGCGGTAAAACATGACCCACTTGACTGACGAGAAACCCCAGGTAGATCACACACGCAGTGCCCACTAGCAGATTCCTCCTCGTCCTTGGGCGCCTGCAAGTCCAGAGCCTCAGCACCCGCGGGGGGCACAGGCAGCAAATAAACAAGTTTTTGATTTTACTTGACTGATCAAGTAAGGTAGTCATTTCTGTAGTGAATCCACATGATGAAAACAGCAAAAAGTCTTCCACACATTCCAGCCAGGATGATGATGCATGATTTCCCTTCCCCAATTTCTATTTCTCGTTTTCCAAATAGCTTTCAGCATGGGTGATAGACAGAGGCTACTGATATGCCTGGGAATGTGTTTAGCACTAAGGATGCTGACACTCCACCTTCTCAAGCTGTTAAATTCTTATCAGCCACCACAGGGGAAGTGATTGGCTTCAGAGAATGAATGGAGCCAGCTACGTAAGCAAAGTTTACTGACTAGTAGTCTAAAATATCTGAAGTATCTCCTTTGCAAACTGCAAAAAGAAAAAAGTAGTGTTTCATTACTCACGTATGGCATCTGTACTTCTACATTTAAGAGACAGAAGTTCTAGATGAGACAGTATGCAACTAGAAATTTTTCAGGGATACATCTTTCACTTTCTTATTACAGTATAAATTAAAAACCAAAATCATTAAATACAGGTTCAATTTGCAACCTCAGCTAGCTGTATTCCAGCATTAGAAAAGCTTGTCAAACCCAGATCATTATCATCTTTTTCTTATGCGACCAAGTCTTCACTAAACCTCATGTTATGGGAGTGCTCTAAATTAGACAATATTAAGCACCAGTAACCGTGGCAGTTAAATATGCACATATTCACTAATAGAAAAATCTTAGCAGTGCCAAGTTTCCCTAGCTGAATATGAATACTGTTCACATTCATAAACACATGTTAAAGATGAAAGATGGTTAATTCTCCTCACTCTTGTGAAGCCATAAATAGGATCTAGCTATAGGTATTCAAATACAATTACAGTGGCTTATATATCCCTTCAAGTAAACAAAGATAGAATAAGTGCATGTTGTATATATATTGCTATAAAAATATAAAATCTCTTACCTATTTAGCTTCACACATCCTTTGTCCTGGTAAACTCCTTAGGTTAATAAAAGTAACTTGGTAAAAGTTGACATTCCCAAAGTATTCTAGCATATAATTCTGTTTTAAGTATGGTTCACATTCAGGTATTTCATTGCAAGCTAAATACTGCTTGGAGGCTGACTGTACGGAGGTTTGCATATGAACTGCTAAAAACTTACATGAACCTCACGCTAGGAAAAAAAAAACACACCAGCAACTTCTATTTTAAATTCTGTAATGAAGAGTCCTGTGAAGTATGCGCCTTCCAAAAGTGTATTCCACCCATTTCTAACTCCTGAGAGCCCTCTAGTGCACTGCATGCAAACATACTGAAGAAATTCAGTTTCTACATTTCAGGGTTTTTCAATTTTAAAATACTGCACCACCACCACTCGCCCCACTGCCCCCCAGATTTTAGAACTTCCAGGAATCATGTGTTCCTATGACGAGAAATGAAAAAAACCAGACAGATGCTTTTAAAATGCTGTTAACTAGCTGTTAAACAGCTCGGGAGTCTTTCCTATTTGTGCTTCCCAAAACGAGGTATAGCATAGTCACCACACAGATGGAAAAGTTGAGGCATAGAGAAGTTAAGGGCTTGTGCAGAGTTAAGCATGGGACACTGGCAAAGCTCTGACTTCTGACTCCTAGCCTAGTCTAAGTATAAAATAATAAAACGTATATGTTCACTGTAATTCACGCTAATGGGGATATTCTCTTCTCCATAATTACTACTAAGGGAATAGACAGTTAAGGAATTGGTTTATGTTTCAGATGAGTCCAATCTGAATTTATAAAACTTTGTGAGTGGATTTTTCAGACCATCACCTTTCTTATTTCTTTTTTTTTTTTTCCTACTCTTAATGTGTATTATCACGTTAAGATTTTGGCATCCATACTTGTTACCAGAAAAAAAAGCCTTCATATCACCTGCTTTTTCCAAATCTAGGTTCTTGGAGGAACAGGGATTGTAAAAAATCTCTCTGGCCACTTAAGTTTTTACTTTTTTTTTTTTTTTTTTTAAATGTTCAAATACGACTGAAGGGACATGACACAAAGAAGATTAATTCAAAAAGCTCCACACAAGTGTATCAATAAAGTCAATAAAGATGTGGCCACTCCTGCTTTATGTTTTTTATACTTTAAAGAAGTTGCCAGAGATGGACGTTAGTAGATGAGCTGTAGATGCTGGAGCGTCCTGAAAGATGAAGGGTCCTTAGCGAGAGGTACCAGTTTTGCAGCCTATTTGACCAGCTGACAGTGTACATGGCTCACAGTGAGAACAGCCTCTTGTATCTGCCTTAATACCAGTGCAAAACATCAGCAAAGTTACATGGCTAAAACCACTGTAAATAAGGGTAGCTGGGTATTTGCAGCCTGATAGCAGTTTTGAAATGTCTAAGATAGGCTCCCCCCTTTAAGGGTAAATAATGGGGTGGGAAGGGGAAACATCCTGGAAACCTCAGTTTGACTTAATGTTGATTTTGACAGCAAATGTTTCAGCATGAATCTTTTATTCCACTATATTTCTTCCAAGTGTTTTTGAATTATCTGGGAGATTTTACTTTATATTGTTAATGGCACCGTGTTGCTTGAGTTGGAAACGTATCACACTGCAACAGTTGTTTTCAAATGCCCAGTTCTTGCATGTAAACAGCACTGTGACCCACACATTACAATCAAGCAGTGACAAAACAGAGTCCATTCCAGTTACTAATAGCTTTCATTTGCAACGATATTTCTCCTAGATTAAAATTTTGGAACCTATATAATCTTCCTACTGCATCTCCTTAAAGATTATCTGGATAAAATTATGAAAGGATATGGAGAATTGTTCTTTAGCCCTCATTTCCTATGTAGCTTTGAAATTAAAATGTGATATACCCACTGATGTACAGTGTTGACTGTTAAGGGGTTTTTTGACGCTTTTTAAATGTGACGATAGCAATTCACTTTTCATGTTCAGAAAGGAGAACTCATTCTGTCAATGTTGTACCGTCACATTATTTGGAATGGATGGTGGTAGGAATTCAACTAAATAGGACTGAATATATTGTTATTCTAGCAGATATTTGCCTCTAATTTTGGATCTTTAAAAGATAACGTATCAAGAGACATTCTTTTTTTCAGCTCTTGTGGTGTGCAGCTCCAGAGCCCTGCTAGATTTCACAAAATAATCAAGGCTGGAATAGCTATGGACTTGTTTGGAAAACAATTGTTTTGTTGTGTTTCAAGGAAAGACAAAGAAAATGTTGGTTGTTCAGGTTGGTAGCATTCTTCTTTCTGGAACTATTACTAACCTAAAGCTGCAGCAGGGCACTAAGGGGCATTACGGACCTGAAAGGGTACTTCCTCTGTGATCATAAAATATTCAACACCATTTTTTGGGAAGAGTAGACGGAACAATGTTAGTTATCTGACCGAATTCTGGCCTAGGTTATTGTAATTTGTCTACTTATGTCATGCCAGTCAGATTATGTGTTCGTTTTTTGCTCTAAACTATCCGTGGTATTGCCATCTGCATCCATTAAACCCAACTTCTCATGTCATTTTTTTATATACCCATAATTCATAGCTGATGTTAACTGTCCCTAACTTTAGGAACACAGAAATATCAAAACTAATATTGGAGATTAGCAATGAAGGTAAGAGGGGAATTTGATAAGAATTTTCTAGTCTTTGACATTCCTAGGTATAGTTTGAAAATGTAAACAGAGAGCTGAATTGCAGATTTCCAATTTATTTTTTTTTACTCTCCTTGTTTAATTTTTGAAATTCATCTCTGCCTGTACTTGCATTTGTAGAAGAAAACAGATCAACCTGTATCCGCAGGAAGGTCTGTTGCCCAGGGTGCTGTTGGTGGTGCTGTACAGGCTGTGAACTCTGGAGCAGCTGGTGGCCAGCACTGCTGCCAGCATTCCTAGTAAACAGTCTCTGGCCTGCCAGCGACGGGTGGACTGAGCCAATGGCCACCAGTCACAAGCTCCTACATTTTGCCGCATGTGCTGGAAACTTCCAAGTGCACCATCCAGTTATACTTAAGTGCTCTGCTCCATTTTCAAATCTCTGAAGATGGGAAGACAATAGTAGTCCATTTTTGGGGAAATAACAAAAATTCTCTAACTCACCAGAATGTTCTCAAAACCTCCTGTTAGCAGGGTCTTCACATCAATCATCCTCCCCTATGCAATCTCTTATAGCCTTTCACCTTTGCATCCTTTTTAATCCTACCAAGTACAGCTTCTTCCTTCTCATCGAATTATTATTCATACTTCTTTATTACGACTTCTTTCATAGGTGATCTTGTTCACGTATGAACAAGATCACCTTCTTTCATAGGTGATTTTGGGTTAGTGAATACTACACCTGGAGAACTAAAGAAAAACACAGAGAAAACCACTTGTAACAACATAGTGATATACTATTGTTATTAATGCAAAAAGCTACCTAGTGGCTAGTATGTCTCCAAAATTCCAGATTGGGTGTTGATTTTTACAAGTATGGATTTTGTATTGTAAAGTAATATGTATCCTATTTCTTCATCTAACCCTTCCTTCTCACTCCGCTCAGTCATTTCAGAGTTATGAGATTTAAAGATGCCTTTTTATTTTATTTCATTGAGTTTCCTAAGATGTCTCTGTTTGGTTCTTCCCACTGTCGTTATGACTGAAGAAATTGCTTTGATTCAGGCTACATTTGTGATTATCTTATGGGATGTTGTTCCTCTTGGATGCACTGCAGCTAAACCGTTTCCATAGAGACATTCTGCAGTTCATCTCTCTAAATGTCACATGGACAGACATTTATGTTAAAATGATTGATAAATGGTCCACTCGTAGCTTTACCGAGTCCACGTGACTGAGAACTTGTTCTCCAGAGAAAAACACCATATGTCCTTATTATGGAGAACGCAGATTTGATTTGCAGAATATGGAGCATTACTTCAGAAGGCTTGTGCTGTGTTTGTAAGGAGATCGATTTGGGCTGCCATCTGGAAACTGTACTTCAGGAGGACGGAGAGAAATGTTTGCTTCCTGACTAAACATGCTGACTAAGCCTGTGCTTTTAAC